ACAAAATGGAGGTCATTTTCGGATTCAGCGCACCAAAAAACATAAAGATTACGTGGAATAACCAAAACAGCTCTCAAAAACAAAATTTTTGCAGACCTGTGTTACCCCCTATCTTCATTCGGACCAAGGGTTCAGGGGGGGCTGGACTAAACCCTGGTCCTCTTCAGTCTTCAGACCTTTCATCTATCGCAGCCAAGCTTATGGCTTCTGCCTCGCTTTGCAGCAGTCTTCGGCTTCTGCCCGGGAATCCAAGGGGCTTCATTCCTCTTCCACTTCTCCCTCCCCGGGGATCGTAAATCTTGACCTTTCGATTCAATCGACCAAGTTCCATTCTTCTATTCTGTCCTCTTCCCTGCCCCCTTATCCCAGCTTCTAGCCTTTTGGGACACTCTAACATCCAGTGATATCCAGTCTTCCTTACACCAATTACCTCGACCTCTGCTCTGGATTTGGGATTTATTTGACAATGCAACTGCCAGCAATTCAGTTTTGCATTGCATTCTATCGTCCCTCTTTTTCTCTTCTACTTTTTCTCTGTTCACAAAGACTTTGTGAGCGATTGCCATTAATTGGCTTATATTCATCCCTAAGGCTCCTTCTTGCCTCTGGAGTTTTTGTTTAACGTCCGGGGCACTCTGGGATATGAAAGCCATCACTAGCATATGGGCATTTTTGGGATCCAGGGGCTTGATTGGGGTGTAGGTTTTATACGCATCGACCAGCCTTTGGAAAAAGGCTTTGGGACTTTCGTCTGATTTTTGGATCACAAGAGAGGTTTGGACATATTTACTGGAGGTTTTGCGGCTTGTTCTAAGCCTTGAAGAATTAGTGCCTGATAGTCCCGGAGGGAGGCCATGTCTCTATAGGGATCCCATTGTGGATCTTGTCATGGAAATCATAAATTTAGCGCAGCTTGAAGGCTTCCTCCATCTGCGGGTTTTAAGATTTTTCCAATGACACCACTCAACTTTTCTCTTTCTTCTCCATTAAGGAGAGTAGTCATTAATTGTTCCAAATCCTACTATGTTGGATTATGGGTTCTGATAATGGCCCTAATCAAGTCAATCACTTCCTGAGGCTTAGCGGACAACGATCCGTAATGTTATTTCCAATTCAACAGGTCTGTGGTGGTAAACGAGATGTATTGAAACAAAGGCTGGATCTCTACTTGTCCCTGTCCACCTATAACCCTTTGGTCCATTTGGTGCAGCGGGGCTAGGTGCTGACTTCTGGTTCAGGCAGCAACGGGAGAATTTTTTTGGGTTATAGGAGAAGGGGGTCCGCTAAACGGACTTTCCAATTTTTGCTCCTCTCCCTGGTCACTTTGTCCTACTGCCCCTTGGTTAATTCCACCACTGGCATTTGAAGGCTGCCTTGGGTGATAGAGAGGGGCATATGGAGGGGGACCTTCTTCTTCATAGGGTGAAGTTTGGAGGAGAGGCTTTTTCTCAGGGTGATTCTTTTTGACCTCGCTTTTGCCATTTCCTTTTATTCGGGCCACACAAACCTTTACTGCTTCCTTTTTACATTTACGAAGCCAGTCAGAATTTTGTTGCACTGCTATCTGCCACTGGTCAATATACTGATATTGATCTGGGTGACCAGTTTTAGCATCGGTTATGATCTGATGTACTTTTGAAATGATGTCTGAATTAAAAGTGCCTGTCAAGGCTCCTTCACTTAATAACCAAGAAAGAAACCACTCAATTCCATTTTGCAGAATTAAGAGTACTTTTACTG